GGGAGAGGTGTGAGGTTCGAACTCCAGCAACCTGAGGCTGACAGCTTTGTGGAAGCAGCCACTTAAAGGACTGAGCTAGGGCCAGGCTCCCTTAAACTAGTAATTTAAATGAAACAAATTAGTGTATGTATTGAAATATTTTTGGGAACAACAGAATATGTAATTTGGGGGAGTTTTAATGGTGAAAAAGCACATTCCAAACTTTAAATGCTGGGTGGTAGTACAGCGAATGCTTTTAGTAACCTTTTGTGCAGATCTAATTATGGGATAGATTTTTGAGATTAACATTCTATTTCATTTAGCTGCTAATTTTTGGATGTTATTGCTAACATCTCTTTTAAAACATTTCAGCTGAGCTTTCATCGCCTTTTTAAGAAACTTTTAATTGCCTTTTGAGCTGATAATGAAAGTGTATGTTCTCTGACTTCTAAAATGTCCTGTAAAATTGATACCCTGAGATCTCAGTTTAATTAACACTTGGTGCACTAGGATAAAGATTTGAAAACTTGTTTTTAATAGACTAACAGTTTTTTTAAAAAAATATTTTTATTTAATTTTTTGCAGAACCAGGGTTTGAACTTAGGCCCTTGTCCTTGCCAGGGAAGCACTTATTCCACTGAGCCATCTCCCTGGTCCAAGTTAATTTTAAAACATATTAGTCTTGTTAAAACAGTCATGGACACTAATGGAAGTTTATGTGGAGTTCTGTAAGATTTTGCTATCAATATAGAAATTTGCTAATCAGATTTGTATTCAAAACTGCAGGGTAGACTTTTCCTTTTTGGTGGCACCAGGGATTGAACTCAGGACCTTGCACTTGCCAGGCAAGCACTTACTCCACTGAGCTATCTCCCCAGCCCTAGGGTAGATATTTTAAAAGTGAATCCAGTTAATTCACTTTTGGAAATAATGTTTTCTCTTTACGAATTGGAAAGCACAGGTATAAAAGGTGGTTCTAAATATTTCTTGCACCTTTTCACTAAGGCTGTCAAAGCATTTTGCAAGCAATAAAACACATATGTCTGTATTACTGATGGCAAAGGTATAAAGAGAAGTCCAAATCATTGTGCTCATTTTTGCTTCAAAAAATGTCCTGTAAGTTGGCCAATGAATCAAGTTTTTGTGCTGTTCAGCACTGGGCAGAATTGGATTGGTAAGAACATCTCCACCAGAATAGTACATGAAGGTAGAAAACCCAAACTGCAATTTTGTTCTTTATTCACGATCTCTTTTCAACAGACATGAAATTCAAAGAAAGTGAGCTCAGTGATTTGAAACACATAACCATCCACTTCTACTCAAAATAGCTAAGGCTTTGCCCCAGCACTGCCTGATAGTGACACTGTGGATACTCTGCTGGAACTACTGCACGTAGATCCTGCCTCAAGTTGCGCGGCCGAAGGTGGAGGTCTGCTCCCCCTGACAACCGCGCACCGCACACCAGACACCTGCTGGTGACATCAGGCCTAACACTCTTTTCTCCAGCTCTTTACGCAAGGACCCACATTACATAATGCAATAATAGCTTTAAAACGAATTTTTTAAGTAGCCAAATATAGCAAGACTATCGTCTTAAAACATACACCGTCCTGTAATTTTTCTGAAACTTTCGATGTACCACGGTGCAGGGTGAGCTGAACAGGCAGGCAGCCATGCGCTCGCGCAGCCCCGGCCCGCCCCGGCCCGCCCCTCCCCGCCCCTCCCCGTCCTGCCGGAGTTACGCAACTAGCGGCCCAGCCGCAACACGTGACGGCCACCTGTCCGCACGTTCCACTTCGTTTTCACTTTAACTAAAATCATTGCTTAATCCAAAAGAAAACGCAGGGATTTTAGAAATTAATTCTGTATCTTGTTTCTCTTCTGAGTGGACAGCGTATCATACTGGCTGCATTTTCACACAAATCTCTTTTTAAAACCTCTTTTAAATTTCGACGTCCCCTCGTCCTTGGAATGGTTTCTACTAGGAGTCCCCAGACTGTTCGGTTTGAACCATTGTGTATTCCTGGAGGGGTGTGAAGTGTAACAGGGGCGGCCAATAGGGAGGTCTTTGGCAGTTGGGCTGTTTTCGCGCCTGTCGAGGAATTTTGGGACCATGTCTGTGTTCTTGAATGTGGAGTTTGGAGGGGGGCCTGAATGTCTTGCGGTGCAGAGCTTGTCCGGGCGTTTCCTGCATCCCTAGCAGCGGTGGGCTGATGGTATGGCCCTGCCGAGTCACGCGCCTCGGGCTCAGCGCTGGTTGCGGGAGGTGAGGGCACCGCGGGTGAGAGCTGCGGCTTTGAATTCAGTCAGCGCCCCTGGACGGTCAGAACACGGGCTGATGTTTTCCCTGTGAGGTCTGGGTCATGGGTGGCTCCCGCTGCGCCCTTGTGAGTCGGGGCTGACAGTCACGATTTACCTGGGGCAGTTAGGGGCGGGGCTGCTGCGTTGTGTTGGAGGAGAGCCCGCGTTCGGCGGCAGAGATCTGGCCGAGGGCAGATGGAGGGGTATCGTGCTGTGTTTCGGTTGGTCCGAGGTGGGAGAGTGATTGGAGGAGGATAAAGGGGATGGTGGGGGGGGGTGTTACCGAACCCTGAGATGTGTGGAGGAGGGTCGGTGAGGGACACATCCAGATGAGTGAAGTGACTTGGTCAGAGTCACTGAACATTCCCCGGAGAAGGTACTCTTACCACCCCACCACCTCACTGCACGAGTTTAGACTTCAGATTGTGTGGCCTGGGGGAGACGGTGTGTGTTTTTTTCTCCGGGCTGTCATTCGCAGAAGGGCCTCTGAAGAGTGAATAGTCTGAACCTACTATCCAGGGCAGGGAGAAGCTCTCGCTTCTCTTGCTTCTCTTTAGTTTGGAGGGTAACCAGTAGCCGAAAAAGGCAGAGGGCAAGGAGGAGCTTGCTGGAAGCAGGTTCTGGTTCGCCAGCCCTTGTATGCCCAGCGCAATCCATAGTGCCCAGCTGTGGCTGGGGAGCTTTGTCGTGGCTAAAAAAGGTATAGCCGTTTTAGTGCTGGAGGCACTAGGTTATCACTGTTGTCACTAAGAAGTTGAGCAACAGCGGCACATGACGCTATTTGTCTAGTGTCATATGTCAGGGAACCCAGTGGTTGGAAATCAAGGTGAAATCAGTAGATGTAGTAGAGCTGGGAGTGAATCTAAGCTAGAAGGATTCTCCTGCAGGACTTTTCAACCAGGGAGCTCGCTGGGATCCCAGCTCTGGCTTGGGCTTTCTTTGGAGACTAGTACTAATAGCTGCCTGCTCACTGGTGCATAAGATCCGTTATAATAACCATATTTAACTACAGAGTGGTTCTTAGTGACTTTTTTTTTTTTAATATTTACTTTTGTGCTACTGGGGATTGAGCCCAGGGTCGGTCGGTCTGTCTGTCTTTCTGCCTTTCTTGGGTCTTTGCATTGAGCTACATCCCCCGCCCTCTATTTTTAATTTGAGACAAGGTCTCAGTAAGTTTCTACTTCCCGAGGTGGGCTCAAACTTGTGGTCTTTTTGACCCAGCCTCACAGGAACGCACCATCACACATGGTTCAGTGGCCTCGAGAAGAACACAGGAAGTAAGGGTGAAAAGGACCCACGACCAGGGTGTGCCAGGGAATGGCAGGCTGCTGTAGAAGTTACTATCCAGAACCAGACCTGTGGCTTAACCACTGTAGGTGGGGGCATGGACAGGTACCAACTCTGGGAGGAATTTATATACTTCCTTTAAGTCTGATGATGATTGTTGGGTAGCAAAGGGTTTCTGCTCTTCCTTGGGTTCTGGAAAGCTTGTTAGGGAAATTTTTAGGCAGATAGGAATTTGTTGAGCATATATTTTAGAATTGGAGAGTGAATAAGATATTGATGTCATGCTGACCAAAATTCAGATGTGAAGTGTGGACCCACCAAGAAACCTGATTCTCAGGTCTGGTACTTAAACTGAGAGGTTAAGTAACATTTGACGCTGTCAGGCTGCTGAGGGCTACATATCCAGTTTATAGGTTTGTATAACTCCAGAGCAAAGTGCCATCTAGAGTTGCTCCTTAGTGGCTGCTTAGGGCTGTGGTGTGTATGAGCCAAAGGTTCAGAACTCTTATTAGACAGTATTTTTCATCAAAACAAAACTAAGAATAGCACATTGTTAATTCTGGATGCTAGGAAGTAGCAGTATTCCCTCTAGTTTCACTTACCCATTGGAAAAGACAAAGAGAAACTTCTAGACCTGGCTCCATGTGTGTGTTACTAGAGCAGCCTCCTTACAACCAATAGCAGAAGGATGGGGGCTGCGAGTTTTAAAAATATTTTCTAGTGCAGAGTGTGTCAGTGTATGCGTACTACTGAGGCCGGAGAGGCACAGTGAGCTTGTGGCCCAGTCTGGGCTATGTAGTGAGTTCAAAGCCAGTGAGACCCTATCAAAAAAGAAAAAAAGATAAAAGGGCCAGTCCAATAGCTCAATGGACTAAAGCCGCTGCATAGGCAGTGCGCAGCCACTAGGGTTCAATCCCAGAGCACACTTGAGACAGTGATTAAGACTGGGCGTGGTGGCACGTGCCTGTAATCCCAGCGAATGAGATCCTGTAGACCCTATACTAAATAGGTTAAAAAAAAAAAAAAAGAGAAAAGAAAAATAATTCTTGTTTTCAAAAGATTTTATATTTACTGCAAGAGACAACTTCCTGGGGGGAACTACCCGCTCGCCCCCCCCCCCGTCCCTCTTTCAGACGGGGGCTTTCTTTCTCTCAATAAATATATTCTGCTCATTAAAGAAAAAAAAAGGTTTTATGTTTAAATGAACTTTATTTTTTTCAATTTTTTAAAAAAATCTGTACGTTTGCTGTACATAATGGTTACGTTTTCTTGGAAATTTGGGAAATCTTTTTTCAAATGTTGCAGTAGACCAGCTTTTTTTTGTTGTTGTTGTGGTAGTGGTGGTACCAGGGATTGAACTCAGGACCTTGTGCTTGCCAGGCAAGCACTTATTCCATTGAGCTATCTCCCTGGCCCTAGACCAGCTTTTTTTTTTAAATGTTGCAGTAGAGATAAAAGATTTTAGCTAACACTTCAGGTGTGTTATCAGCCTGCTGTAGCCATGACTTAGAAGGCTAGAGGGCTGCTGAGCTATTGAGAACCACACATGTAGCTTAGTGGAAGAGTGCTTGCCTTGCACAAGTGAGCTCTATTTCCAGTTAGGGAGGGAGGACCACAGTGACTTAGTTTTCTATCACTGTGACTAAATAATAAGACAGTCAATTTAGGAGGGAAGTTTATTTTGTTCAGCCTTTCTATATATGGTTGGTTGGCTTTGTTGCTTTGGGCCTGAGGTGGGGCAGAACGTCACAGTTGGACCATGTTGGGAGTAGAGCTGTGAGCCTCCATGGCATCTGGGAAGCAGAGAGATGACGGGGCAAGGTCCCATTATCCCCTTCCAGGGAATGTCTGAATGACCTATTTTCCCTCCACTAAACCTCATCTAAAAATTTTACCATTTCCCACTGAGCACCATCATCTAAGGATCAACACTTCAACACATGGGGACAAGGTGATGCCTCTCCAAGTCTTTGTGGTGCTCTGATTTGAGGTTGGCTGTACGCTGCTTTGAAAAAAATTTTTTTTCACATTAGAGGTCATTGCTGTTAGAGTTACCTGTGATTTTACTTTTACTTCCCTAGAAAATGCCACATCTTCACATACGACTGCTGTTGGGATGGCTGGCTTACATGGCAGGTCTTTGTATGCTTTGGTCTAGGTGGGCTGGTAGAAGTGTGATTCTGCTAAGTGTAAAGTTTGTATCAATTCTAGAAGGAACCTTAGTTTTCATTCTCCCTCAAAGGAAGTCATAAACCTCTTTTTCCCAAGGTTACTGCCTCTGTCTTTATCTTGGGTCCTGTTTTCCCTTCTTCCTTTCTCAGCCTCTGTATTCTGTCTATGGTCATTTTACCTCTTCCACTGTGAATACTTATTTAAGAGCACTGCTGAAAATGGAACCCAGAGTCTCATTTATGTCAGGCATATATTCTGCCATACGCCAATCCCACACACAGCCCATCATTGTCCTTTACCCCATTGTGGAGAGCTGTCTATTTAAACTCAGTTTTCTTGGTTCCTATCCCAACTAGATTTTCAGATTTTGTCCTTTCCATGGTTATGCCCATGAATCTTTTTTATCCGTGGACACATCCATTTGTTCTTGTGTCTTCTCTCTGTATGCAACTTCAGGTCCACTCATTTGCCCAACACTTGATAATCTGGTTTCTTTTCTATGTCAGGACTATTATAGATTCTGAGGTATAGCAGTTAACTAGTTGGATCTTCCATTTGTAAAGAGATACAGATACAATTCTTGGTATGAAAGGCATTAGGACTTAACAGGAAGAGTAGTAAGGAGAGGGCTATCAGTTCCCATCTGATGAGGGAGGTTCTGAGTAGGAATAGGCAAGTGGGCACTGAGAGTTGAGGAGAAACAGCCAGGCATGGACTGTCATGAGCCTTCAGCATTAGCCACAGCCTCTGTGATAGTGTAGCTGGCATCTCTGTGGCACTCCTAGGAGTCTGTCCATACCTGGCCAGTTGTGTGGATTCACACTAAATCTTCCTGCTTCAGGTTCAATATCCCAGGCAGGCCATCCAACTCACTAAGCCTTGTTATGTCCATGCCTAGCTGTCAGGGGAGGTCATTGTGGTGGTGGTGGGGGGCCTCTCCAAAAGAAAAGTGTTCATTTGCAGTCCCACATTTAGAAATGTGAATGATTTTCTGTTGTCTTGAGCAAGGTGTTCCAGTGGAACTTTCTGTAATAGTGAAAATGTCTCATAACCAGCACTGCTCAGGTGGTTACCACAAGCCCCATGTATTGTGAGCACTGGAAACCTGGCTGTCAAGACTGAGGAGCTAAGCTTTGTTCTAGTTAAAGTCATATGTGGCTGCGGTCACCATGGGTCTGGAGAGTTGAGGGCCACTCTAGCCTGGTATTTCAGAGTTACCAGCCAGCTAGTGTAGCCTACAGTGTCCATGCATCAGAGAGATGGTAGGGATGCTTGCTAGAGCCGTCCTCACCTCTGTTGTGCTAGGGATGGATGCTAGTTGTGATCTGTACCGCTGAGCTGTACCCTGGCCCCCACCTCTGTCTGTCCTGCTGTGGTCATAGATTGTTGCCGCCACACACATGTGGCTGTGCCCCATCTTTAAAGCCTTCCCTGATTTTTCCAAGCAGAGGTCTTCATCTGCTGGCCTTGCTGTGAGGAGGAATAAGTTGCCTCATAATAACTAGCCTTTACCTCTGATTGCACCATGTGCTATGGACTTTTAACATATTCCTGTTGGCTTGAACTGCTGGAGGTACATGCATGATTTTCCCATTGGGCAGCTTGAACCACAAGTCACCTCATGGGAAAGTCATGCACGTAGGGCCTCATTGTGAACATGTTAAATTGTTCCACTAGCACCTAAGCTTGAGGAGGGTACTTCTTGATTCCATGTCCCCGTCAAGCTTACCCTGTTCCTGGCACTTCCACAGAACAGGTGCTAGCTGGATAGGTGACTTGCCTCTGCTGTGCAAAAAATCTGTCAGTGATACCTAGTGGGTCCAGTGCTCCTGAGGCATTAGGGAGATTTTGGGGTATGACAGGTATGTCTACTAATCGTGTCCCTGTCCCCACAGGCCTCTTCACCAAGTCACCATGAATGCCATCGTTGCCCTCTGTCACTTCTGTGAGCTCCATGGCCCCCGCACTCTATTCTGCACAGAGGTTCTTCACGCACCCCTGCCCCAGGGTGCTGGGAGTGGGGACAGCCCTGGCCAGGGCGAGCAGGCTGAGGAGGAGGAAGGTGGCATCCAGATGAGCAGTCGGGTCCGTGCCCACAGCCCAGCGGAAGGAGCCAGTGCTGAGTCTAGCAGCCCAGGGCCCAAAAAGTCAGACATGTGCGAGGCAAGTGTCTGGGATCTTGGGGACATTTTGCTCTCTACGGGAGGTAGGATGGGTGATATGAGAAGGACAGGAGACCTACATAGACCAGGAGACCTACATAGACCTGAGAGCACTGGGTGAGGCCTTTGGATGATGACCCCTCTCAGTAGGCCCTCTGAATGTGCTTGTTTCTGGATACCTTTGGTTCTCTCTCTTTGTCCCTACTTCAGTTTTTATGTGGTTGTGTTTTGTTTTAGTTTTTTAACACTAGACATGGAACCCAGGATCTTGAGCATGCTGGCAAGCACTGTATGGCTAATCTACCTCCCTGGCCCCTATTTTATTTACTTTTATTTTTTTGGTACTAGAAATTGAATTCAGGACTTTGTGTTTGCCAGGTAGATGCTTGTGCTGAGGAGCTATGTCCCCACCCCATCCCCTATTTAAATTTTTTTGTTTTGAAATGTTACTAAGACAAGTCTCGCTAAGTTGCCTAGGCTGGCCTTGAATTTGTGGTCCTCCTGCCTTTGCCTCCCAAGTAGCTGGGGTTATAGGGGTATACCATACCTACGAGCCCAAGGTTTTGTTTTGTTTTGTTTGGTGTAACCAGGGATTGAACTCAGGCCTTTATGCTTGCCAGGGAAGCGCTTATTCCACTGAGCCATCTCCCTGGCCCTATGGCAGAAGGATTTTTTTTTTTTTGGGGGGGGAGACCTGAACGTGCCTTCAGGGCATTTCTTGTTTGGCAGGAGTATCTGGGTTCGAACCAGTGCAACTTGAGCCTCACTGGTTTCTTAAGCAGGCACTTAAACAACTGAGCTAATGGGCGGGCCCCCATGAGCCCAAGTTTTAGCTTTTTTGATCTGCTCTGTTTTAACAGACAGTTGTCACCCCAGCATGGCATTTACTTTTGTTTTTTGAACATTTCAGCCGTCCTTGGTTTGGGTCCATTCAGTCCACTGTCCCCAGGGGAGTTCCTTTCTCAGAAGAGTCTTGGTATTCTTTGTTGGGTTGGTTTGTGAGCTGTGGGGGATGAAGTTGAAGTTCTCCCAGTGGTCCACTTTAGTGGTGGCTCTGGGATAGGCTTAAAATCTGGGGTGATGGTTGGACCTGCCATCTCAGGGGAAATGGGACTCTAGACTCCTTATTTGGTTCTGCTAAACAAAAACTAGGCAATGTGCAATTGTTTGAAATGCCCACAGAGGAACCAGAATGCAAGGAGATCATTTAGGCCTGGGAAGGAGGATTCTTGAAGGGCTCTGGTAAGCCACCTAGCTGGGGTCCAGGCTGCCTTGGAGTGCTGCATCTGCCTCTCAGGAGGTGCTGGCCACAATGCCATATAAGATGCATAGCCTCAGCACTAGTATAGAAGAACTGAGGTAGGATATGGCCCCTACTTCCTCAAGCAGATGGTCCGAGTGGTATCTTCTCAGGCTTCTGCGCCAACATTCTGAAGACCAGCATTTCTGTTAGCACTCTGTGTCCCTTCACTCTGGCACAGTCCTTGGCCATATGTTATTCAGGACCAAGAAATGAAAAGAGGAGGGCCAGTGGCATTGCTCAGAAGAGGCCTGGCTCTGGTTGTTGGGACCAGCTCCTTCTCAGCTCAGCCTCAGTTTGCTGTAAAATGGCATTACCTTGTAGGGTTGTATTTTGAATTGAGTAAGGTAAAGCATGCAAAACTGTTCATAATATCTGCCACATAAGTGCTCAGTAAGTATATCTTTTGACCTCTGGCAACCCTTGTAAGTCCTGAGTCCTGGTCGTCCAAACATTGGAGTCATCAGATGAGTGCAATTATCTGTGCACAGTACATAGAAAACAATTTATAACCTACTAAGTACAGATTCTTTTTCTTCTTGTGGATAGGGCTGCCGGTCACTTGCTGCAGGTCACCCAGGCTATATCAGCCATGATAAAGAGACCTCAATTAAGTACGTCAGTCACCAGCACCCCAACCACCCACAGCTCTTCAGCATTGTCCGCCAGGCCTGTGTCCGGAGCCTGAGCTGCGAGGTGAGCCTGGGGCTATGTGCAGGTTCAGTGGTCTGGAGTGTGGCACACCTTAGTTGCTTTGAAATTAGAAGAATAAGTCATAATGGGCACTTGTTTTCTGAGTAGGTGCTAACTGTCCCTTTTGTGTGTGTGTGTGTGTGTGTGTGTGTGTATGTGTGTGTGTGTGTATGTGTGTGTGTGTGTCTGTCTGTCTGTCTGTCTGTCTTTCTGTCTCTCTTTTCTTTTTTTGAGTCAATTTTTCTATGGCGTCCAGGCTGGTCTTGAACTCACTATATAGTTACGTAGTGCTGGCTAGGCTTGAACATGCAGCTATCTTCCCAAGTGCTGAGACTGTGGATGTGCACCACCACACCCAGCCTATGTTTTCACTTTAAGCACCACTTTTTGTCTGTTCTTACTGGTTACATTTCTAAGATCTAAATTATTTCTAGAATATGTAGTTGCTGTATCAAACATTACTTTTCATATTGTCTGAATCATCACTTTGTGTCTTAGGGTTCATCACATGTTGCTCAAGGTACCTCCTAAAGAGTGAATTGATTTGTTCCTACACCCTGTGGCTGCTGCTGTTACACTTGAGTCCTGGCTTTCACTTTTGTTTTAGGAATTCAGAACATAGGAGCTTTCCTATTGTTGCACTCCCATCAGACCCTGAGGCCTTACTACTGATTCTCACTGTTGTTCTGTGACCACTGTCAGTAATTCCCTTCCGTCCCTCCCTCCCTTCCTTTTGCTCTCTCGCTCTCTCACTCTTTTGCTGTCTCTCTCTCTCCTTTTTATTTTTTTTGCTTTTTGAGACAGGATCGAGGCTGGCCTTGAGCTTACTTTGTAGACCCGGCTGGTCTCAAACTCTCAATGATTTTCCTGCTTCAGTCTCCCGAGTACTGGGATTACGGGCATGTGCCACCACACCTGGTGTCCGTAATTCCCTCTCTTAATTTCCTGCTGTGCCTCTCGGCAGGCAGTTGGTCGTGTGTGTGTGCGCGTGCGCGTGTGCATGTGCGTGCTCAAACACACAGCAAAGATGTCACAAGGGTGGACTGAGGCCTTAAGAACAGAACATACAGATTTTACTCTAGTGGCTATTTCGACCTGTTGGTTCTTCAGTCTACTCAGACAAGCAGGTTGGCACATTTGAGTGTAGAATGGATGAAAGATTTGTTAGCAGTCATTTAAAACTTAAGATGGAAGGGGCCGGGGAGATGGCTCAGTGGAATAAGCACTTCCCTGGCAAGTGCAAGGGCCTGAGTTCAATCCCTGGTTCCGCAAAAAAACAAAACCCAAAAAACCTCAAGATGGAGAAAAGTAAGGGGCTCTGCTGTACTGACCCTAGCAGTCTAGCACTCCAAGATACAAATGCCACTTTTAGAAAGTTTCTGCCCTCAGTGTCAATAAAAAGTTCGCTGGGTCTGGGAGGTATTGTTTAGTGATAAGAGTGTGTGCTTAGCATGCCCTGGATTCCATCCCAGGCACAGGGAAAAGTGGTCCAATGGGGAATCTTTGACCTGGTGTCACCAATGCAGGGAGAGAACTGTCCTTCAAGTTACTGTGATTTCCTCTCAGGTGTGCCCTGGCCGAGAAGGGCCCATCTTTTTTGGGGATGAGCAGCATGGTTTTGTGTTCAGCCACACTTTCTTCATCAAAGACAGCCTGGCCAGGGGCTTCCAGCGCTGGTACAGCATCATTGCCATCATGATGGACCGCATTTACCTCATCAACTCCTGGCCCTTCCTGCTTGGGAAGATCCGAGGGATCATTGATGAGCTCCAGGGCAAGGCCCTCAAGGTAACATCTTCGAGAGTCACTGACACTGCTGGAGTCTCCTAGTATAGTGCAGGAGCTTTGCTCCTGTTAATCCTATAGCTGCTGTGTTGCCCAAGGTACCTCTTGGTTACAGAGTTTCTGGGATGGGCATCTAAGCTAGCTGCCTACTTTTCCCTCTCACGTGTATCCACTGTCCTTGGTCTTCTTCACCCGTGGTTTTCTTGCAGCAGTCAGGTTGCTGGCTTCCTCGTCCTTGTCTTTGCTTTCCTTGCCCTTTTTGTCAGAGACTTTCCATTAGTCTTGGAGAGAGCCCACCCACCCCAATAAGAGACCTCCCTCTATTGTACTGTGTCTGAGGTTAGGACAGGATGCTATGGTGACAACCGTCGGATCTCACTGTCTTCACGGGGCCTGTTTTTCTCCAGTGTTGAAATGTTGTGGAGGGCCCTACCTCTCCTCTAGTTGCTGGTGTAGTCACATGGTCCTTGTGTAGAGGTTTGCATAGCAGGCTGCCAGGGGAAGGTCAAACTGGAGATCATGACTGCTGCAGTGTGTGTGTGGCCCAAGTACCCAGTAGGTCCCTAAAGAGCCAGTAGTGAGATCAGAGAGTATATAAGAAATCTCTGCCAGTTTCCTTTTATAAGGGGGCAGAACCATCCCGTGTGTGTTGGTCAGACTGCAGGTGCTCTTTGTGTTCTGTGTCCGGAGGACAGAGTGAGTGTTCTGGGAGGAGGAATGTCTGGCCCCAGTGGCTGGCTTTATTAATAGATTGCTCTCCCCTTGGAATTGCAGGTATTCGAGGCAGAGCAGTTTGGATGCCCTCAGCGTGCTCAGAGGATGAACACGGCATTCACACCCTTCCTGCACCAGAGGAATGGCAATGCAGCCCGTTCGCTCACCTCCTTGACCAGCGATGATAACTTATGGGCCTGTCTGCATACCTCCTTTGCCTGGTAATGAATGCCTTACAGCTTTTGGCTATTGTTAGAATGAAAGCAGTCACCAATGTTCAGTGGATTATCCTTGGACTTGGGAAAACAGTCCTTACCGAGTTTGCTGGACTACCTGCTGGTAGAGTCAGATCCTGTATGCACTACTTTGTGAAAGTAGAACTGGCCAATGGATGTTTCCTGGGTCTCTTTCCCCTGTTGAAGAGAAGACAAATTTAGGTGGAAATTATTTACTAGTTTGAAGAAAAAAATGTTTTTGTACCAAGACCAATAAACCCCTCTTTTAAAGAAAAATAACAAAAATACCCATTTCACAGCTGGGAAGTCAAAATTGGCGTATTTGGGTCTTTTGGCTCAGGTCACAAGGGAGGTTTTTTGGCCAGGGCTGCAGTCAGTGGAGGCCGGACTGGAGTGCCAGGGTGAGTGGGGCTGGCTGTAGGCAGTGAAGAATGGAGCTGGTACCCTGCATGTCCAGTTCAAGAGGATGAGGTGGGATCTGTCAGGTGTTATGGCCCTGAGGTTGGCAGGGACCTGCTTTCCCTCCTAGCACTTAGTGTTTTGTGGAAGTGTGTGCTGTTACTGAGCCCAAGCCGGTTGGGGCTCATGAAGGAGAAGCATGTCTGTGCACCTGTGGACTTGTAAAACAACCAGTATATTTCTGTGTGTGCATTGTTTCTGTCCTTCCACTGCAGGTGCCCTCCTGCCAGAACCCCAAACCTCAGCTCGTTCCTATGTGGTAATAGCTTGTGGTTCATGTCTTATAATATAGATTTGTCCTGGTGTGAAAGAGGTCCTGGAATGCATCCAAGTTTACCTCCTAAGATTGCACAAACTAAAAAGTATCTATTTCCCCAACTGTCATATAGTCTCTTAAATTTTTTTTAAAAGTTGACAAGTAAAAAGTATATATGTATGTATATACCATGGTACCTCTGTTCATGAACTTAATTTGTTCTGTAATTCTGGGGAGAATGGCTATAGTTGGCCAGAATCTTCTCAAATGCTGTTTACAAACCAAATTGTTTATAAACATCATGAAGCAAGTTATTTTATTGTATCTGTATATACACAGAGTTTACAAAAAAATTGTATACACACTTCAGGAGAAGAAAAATGTGGAATGACTGGAAGGTAATGGCCACCACTTTGATCATCTCTTTTTTTTTTTTTTTAAAAAATTTTATTTATTTATTTATTCAGTGTGTGTGTGTGTGTGTGTGTGTGAACAGCTCAGCCCACCTGGGGGCGGGGCTGGCTGGCATGTGGTGCTGGGGGATTGAACCGCGGTCCCTGTGCTTTGCCAAGCTTGTTCCAAGTAGGTGCTTTAGACCACTGAGCCATCTCTCCAGCCCTTGATCATCTCTTGTGATCAAAGATAACTTGCATTAATCTCATGATGTCTCAATAAATACAGTATTAAAATGTAAAGGTTATATATATATATATATATATTTTGTTTTTAGCAAAACCTTTTTTTTTTTTTTTTTTTTTTTTTTTGGCAAACTCTGAATATACTTTTTTAATGGTGCACAATATGATGTGTTGATAAGTAGTCACTTGCCACATCAAGATGTCTTTGTCAAGCTGGATGTGGTAGTACATGCCTGTCATCCAGCACTCAGGACAGTAAGGCAGGAGAAGTGCATTGAGTTCAAGGCCAGCCTGGACTACATTAGGGAGATAATATCTCAAAACAAAAGCATCTTAGCAACAGACTGTACATCTAGCAGTGCTTACATAAGATGTTGCCCAAATGGTGTCATGGCATGCTTGTGATGACATTGGTTAAATTTGAGTCTTTTGTTATTTATTTGGGATGGGGGCTTTTTTAAAAAATGTATTCGGTACAGGGTCTCACTACACAGCTAACTCAGTCTCGTAGTGATTGTCCTGTTTTTCAGTCTCCCCGAGGCTGAGATTACAGGAGTTGCCACCACACCTGGTCTCTCAGTGTGCCCAGGGGTGGGGCTGGCTCAGCATGCTGCAGCAGAGATTGAACCTCAGTTCCTGCAGTCCTTGCACTTGCCTAAGCAGGTTCTTAGTCTGCTGAGCTATGTCACCAGCCCTGGGGGGCTTTTTGAGACAAGGTTTCATTATATGGTTCAGACTGGTCTTGAATTCACTATGTAGCCCAGGCTAACCTTGAACTTGATACAGTGAGTGCTGGGGTTACAGGTGTGTGCATCCCACCAAGCTAAAATATTTTTAAAACAAATCTTAGTATGTCATTTTAAGTATAATACAACCATAATACCAGTATTCGATATAACAAAATGGAGTAATTCCTAGTATTCAGTGTACAGTACCTGTTTAGTGCTAGGGATGGAGCCCAGAGCCTTGTACATGTAGCATAAGTGTCCTGCCACTGAGCTACATTCCAGACTCTAAGATGACATTTAAATTGGGATCAGAATAAGCTGTTCCTCCCAGTAGTGCCTCTCCCCCACCATTTTCCCATGCCCTTTCATGAAGGACCTCAGTCATGCCTTACAGAATAGCCTGTGTTCTGAATCGGGCTGTGTCCTTAGGGTGGCAGCTAGGGTATGTTTGTAAGACAAGATCTGACAGTGTTACCCAGGCTGGCCTTGAACTCCTGGGCTCAAGCAGTCTTTTTGCTTCAGTTTCCTTGGTCACTGGGGCCATAGGTCTGGGCCACTTTACCTGGCCAGCTTGTTCTTTTAGCCCTGTGCTTTCTGTAAACTCTTAGTTGGATCAGGGAGCTTGGTGTATATCAGGATGAGGTTTCTGTTAAGCAAGAAGTCTTACCTCATGGTGTGTTCTCTAGGCTCTTGAAAGCGTGCGGCAGCCGACTGACTGAAAAGCTCCTCGAGGGTGCGCCAACAGAGGACACGTTGGTGCAGATGGAGAAGCTGGCTGGTGAGCCTGGGTGCTGCTGGGGTGAGGGCTTCCCTGAGGTATTTATGGAGCCACCTGGCTCCTGGTCTCCAGCAAGAGTTGGTTACACAGTGCGATGTGGCTCTAAGGAAGTCTGGGTGAGCCTTCCTAAAATCTGGCCCTTTGCTCTTTATGCTTTGTTATGCTTTTTTGTCTCATTTTCCTTGATGGTGTTTTAAAATAAGTTGCTTTTCAGATAGTAACAAAGTTCATGATTAGTGCTTCCTCAAGAGAAGTGACTGAAGATTTTCCTGCCGGTATCTTATGATGATAGCCAAGAACCTACCCTTGTTAACAGTCTCTTAATCTTTGTTTGGAACACATAAAGTGGTGTGTGAGCTGGAGCCAAGTTGTCCAACAAATGGAGAGCCTCCATTTTCCTTGCCTCTCCAGTTCATGGTCAGAATCTCTGTGCCTGAGTTTCAGAGCCCTTTGTGTCAGATTCACTTCCCAGGGATGTTGGTGCAGGAGAGCAGATTGTGGTGTGTGTTGGGCACAGTTTGTTGCTAACAGTGCATCTTGTATTTTAGTTTGCAAAGAATGGGCCTTCTAACCCTTTGGAGCTCCTTTCACGGTGATCCTTGCACACACTTGCAAGCTCTTCCCAAGCAGGAATGATCAGGAGTGAGGACTCAGCAAGAGCATAACATGCTCAGAAAATAGAACCTCATGTTCACTGTCGTGCACACATATCTCTTGTGGTCCCGGCACCATTCATTTTTGTGCCAGTCACAGACTTCGAGGCCAGCACAGGTGGTAGGACCAGTCTATTGAGGTGTCTTTGCACAGAGAAGTCAGGTTTCTGAATGCTCTCAGAGATATGCATACCCCTCTGTTTTTTCTTTTTCTTCTTCTTCTTTTTTTTTTTCAGAACCAGGGATTGAACTCAGGCCCTTACGCTTCCAGGGAAGTGCTTATTCTACTGAGCTATCTCCCCAGCCCCTGTATATCCTTCTTTTCTGGTCTTATTGTCACATGGAGGAGGAATACAGTTGTGTGTGAAGACTTACAGAGGCTCTAAAACAAACCTTTCTGTTTTTACCTGAGAAATGGGGGTGGTAGTGTTGACCTGAGAAAGTCACAGAACTAAGTGTGTAGAACCTTGGGAGAGCATCTAGTGGAGCACATACTGAGTAAACACGCAGTGCTGCATTCTCCTCAGTGTTACAGGCTTTCCCGCCAATGAGGAGACAACTTGTAGTTAGTCATCCTAAGGCATAATGTGACACCCAGGCCATGTAAATAGCCCTGGAGCCCTTTCTGCCTTCCCAGGGCTCCCAGGGGAGCAGCCACTAGGACATGCAGGAGAACCAGCGAGCAGTGGGTATAGCCATAAAATGCCTAGGGCTGCAGTGGTCATGGAACAAGTCTGTTCCATTTGGGGAGAGACATTCTGTAACTATCCTTATTATCTTTCCTGTAGATTTAGAAGAAGAATCAGAAAGCTGGGACAACTCTGAGGCTGAAGAAGAGGAAAAGGCCCCTGCATTGTCAGAGAGTACAGAAGGGAGGGAGCTGACCAAATGTCTGACGGATTCGTCCTTACTGTCAGACTGCGGAAGCTGGCAGCCCCGGAAACTATCAGTGTTCAAATCCCTTCGGCACATGAGACAGGTAAGCAGCAGAGGCTAGAGTCCCCCAATCAGAAACCAGGAGAAAAGCCCTGGCTTCTCTGACCAGCACACTGTCCTCTGGGCCTGACTTATTCCAAGGTAATGGCCAAGAACTTTTTTCGTTGGTGGCTGAAGGTACATGAGCATTTGGGGTATATTAGCTGTGTAAGCCCTGCTTTGCTTTGCTTTGCTTTTCCTTTCTTTTATTTTCTACTGAAGATTGAACCCAGGACCTTCCCACTGAATTATATTCCCAGCCCTTTTTAGAAAATGTCCCAGGGCTGGCCGGGGAGATGGCTCAGTAGAATAAGAGCTTGCTTGTCAAGTGCAAGGGCCTGAGTTCAATCCCTGGTTCTGCAAAAAAAAAAAAAAAAAAATATCCTCAGGCCGGGGGTATAGCTCAGTGGCACAGTCCCTGCCTGACAAGCACGAGATCCTGAATTTAGTTCCCCGTAACAAAAGTATTGTGTGGCTGGGTGAGGTGAAACATACTTGTGATCCTAACATTCTTGGGAGGCTGAGCAGGAGGATAGCTGTGAGATCCAGGGCAGCCTGAACTATGTGATGAGATCCTGTCTCAAAAAAGCAAACAAAAAATTACTCATTTTTTTATTAGTACATGTTTAGAGTAACACAACATATTGATTACCTTTATTTTTTATTTTGAGATGGGATCTTCCTGAGTTAGCCAAGCTGGGCCTGAATTTATGATCCTCTTGCCTCAGCTTCCCAGAGTCCTATGATTATAGCCCTGTACCACCATGCTTATTGGCTTTTATGTTCCCCTTTGAGTGACAACATAGGATCTGTGTTCAGACAAAGGCCTAAATAGGTAGCTTCTTATGGCCCTAATCTTGATAGTCTAGAAGAATCTCTTTATTGTTATTTTTAGACAGAGTCTCATTATGTTGTACAGGCTGACATCAATCCTCATGCCTCAAGTGCTGGGATTACAGGCATGCACCACCACACTTGACTTTCTAGAATGTTCTAAAGAGTTTGAATAGCACTGTTGGTTTTTGTGCATCCAAAACTGATTATAAAAAACTGAGAACAATTTGGATGTACAAACAGAGCAGTTGAGGTCTATGAAAACAGTGAAATGTCATTAAGTCAAAGAAAGGAAGCCAGGAGTGTGGCACAGGTGATGGGTGTGTGTGCAATGTGTACAACAGGCATTCTAACGTAGCCGAACAGCTGTGATGTGCAGATGAGAGGCCAGGATTGCTTGATTATGAGGACAAGTTGTTTTATAATTTTTCCATATTCATTTTTATAATGAATATCCAATTTCTATTTTGGAAAAATGGAACAGGTGGGGTCAGTGAGATAGGTCAGTGGAAGTGTCTGCTTAGGCAAGCTCAAGGATCAGTACCGCATGCCGTGCCGGCCCTGCCTCTGGGCATGCTGAACCCAAGATGAGCCTGGGCACGGGGCACACGCCTGTTACCCAAGTGCTGGGGAGTCTGAGCTACACAGTGAGACCCTGTACAAAATACATAAATTAAAAGAAAGAAAGAAAATTGAACAAGTAAGAATGATATAATGTCAGGTCTCTTCCTGGGATCCTGGATGAAGAAATGCTCCTTCCGTCTGCATTGTATCTTGGGCTGAAATGCCTTGAATGTTCACATGGTTGATGTTAGAAGGCATTTCAAGTTCCACCAGGGATCAGGATCCTTCGAGGTTGGTAAAAAGTGTGATTGTCATCTCTTTTTTAGTATAATTTTATTTCATAGTCATGTTTAGGTTCTTAGACGATATAAGACAATAGATTGTCCTTTTCTAAGATGTCAGTGTCCTGGGAATGAGTAAGAGGAAAGAGGTGCAGAGCAGTTAAGATCAGAGTAAAAGATCTGACAACTTATCTTGGTTACTCTTCTCTTGAGGCTGAGACAAAATACCTGAGTCCCAAAATTTGTTTATTTTTTTGCAGTACCATGGATTGAATTCATGGCCTTGCGCTTGCCAGGCAAGCACTTATTCTTCTGCGCTATCTTCCCAGCCCCTGACTCCCGAAATAGAGAAAAGGGTTATTTATTTAGCTCATAGTTTGTGAAGGTTTCACTCCATAATCAGCTGGCTCCAAAGCAGAGTGGTATATGGCAGAGGGCAGCAGTTCATGGTGACAGAAGATAGCAAAACAGCAAGAGCAAAAAGGGAGGAGCAGCCAAGAGCAAGCCACTTTCTCTCCCTCATGTTGTATGTAGGCTACCATAAACCCAGCATTAGACTATAAATAAAAAACCCTAGAAGCCCACCGCCCCATGTCTGCATGAGGTTTTGGGGGGACATGTGGACACAAAGCATAGCACACCTGAAAGTCCTGGTGTTGGTACCAAGGTCAAAAAATTTGCAGCTGAACAGGGCACACTAGGAGCAAGGCGCGGCAGTGGCTGGCTGTTGTGCTTCAGGGGAAGGCATACGCTGGACTGTGGGGTGCAGTGTGTGGTCTTTCTGGGTACTGACATGTCATGCTATCTACAGTTTACTTCAAATGGCTCAGTAAAGTACATGTCTGTGGAGAGAAGATAGGCCCAGGGAGATAGCTCAGCGGCATAGCGCCCACCTGGCAAGCACAAGGTCCCGAGTTCAACTCTCAAAAACAATAAAAGGTAACTTGGAAAAGATAATACCTTATTGCTTCATATTTTAAAAGTAAAATTTAGAAGGGGGAAACTCTTAAAGATGAAAGAGCTTTAGAATCTAGCCTTTAGATGCAGAGTTGGGGACTTCCTCATCCTGTCAACCTCAGGGAGGTCCCCCAGTTTCTGAGAAGTGGCTTTCTGTTTCCTGACCCCCTACTCCTTTTACATACGAAGTTTCCAAATGAAAGTAACTTCCTTCAGAAGAAAGTGAGAAATGACTTATGTTAATGTTCAGAAAGCCCTGTGTGTTATTTCAGGTCCTGGGGGTCCCATCGTTCCGCATGTTGGCGTGGCATGTTCTGATGGGGAACCAGGTGATCTGGAAAAGCAGAGATGTGGACCTGGTCCAGTCAGCATTTGAAGTTCTTAGGGTAAGAGTGCCTTTTTCTCACCTATTGTATGGGCCAACATATGGATGGACCTAGTGCCTGACTGTAGGCAAAGATGTCACAATGCACCTGACACTCAGTGCAGAGCCTGTGACCCAGCCGTGCTGGAGTCCCAAGACCAGTATTTTCTCATGTCTTATAAGCAGCAGTTTGCAGCTGTTTACAGAGGGAGGAGTTTGTTCCTGTGCCAACAGATAGCTGCCCTACTGCCCCTCACCATACTTTCAGTCCTCTTAAAATGTCATGGGTATGGGTCTGGCCCATGCCTTTTGCATGGTGTCCTTCTCAATGGGCAGGGCTGGGTGGTAGGCACAGTGCACAGGGGACTGGTGTTTTAAGTTCTGGAAGGCATGTGCCTGCCTGCTACCTACTAAGGTCTGTAAGTATAGAAAGGAATAGGACCCCATTTTACAAAGGTTATCAGCTCTTGGAGAGGGAGAGATAAAAATCCAAGAAGGTGAAATAACAACCAGTTCATACTGCGAAGCAAGAGACAGGAGTCAGAGGGACCAATGGCCAGAGGAGCAGTTGGGCCTTGTAGTGAAAGATGACCTTGAGGAGGGAGGCTTTGGCTGGGCTGCAGGGGGTGTGTGGGGTGGACTTCTTGCAGTGGCAGGTTCTGAGCCACCTGTCCTCTGCAGACCATGCTGCCTGTAGGCTGTGTCCGCATCATCCCATACAGCAGCCAGTATGAGGAGGCCTACCGGTGCAACTTCTTGGGGCTCAGCCCACACGTGCAGATCCCTGCCCACGTGCTATCCTCAGGTGCGTGCTGCCCACTGCAGGGCCTTTGAGAGCGTCCTACACCTCAGCCCAGAGCTGGGACTGGCTCTCAGTCCTGGATTCTAGGAAGCAGCCTGCTGTCCTTGAGGCAAGAGGACCCATGTATAGAGCCAATTTTCTTTTTTTTTTAAATTATTTATTTATGTGTGTGTGTGTGTGTGTGTGTGTGTGTGTGTGTGTGGCCAGCTCAGCCCACCAGGGGGCGGGGCTGGCTGGCATGTGGTGCTGGGGGATTGAACCACGGTCCCTGTGCTTTGCTAAGTTTGTTCTAAGTAGGTGCTTTAGACCACTGAGCCATCTCACCAGCCCAGAGCCAATTTTCTTAGTGGCTTTGGACCTCCACTTTCTGTCTTCAGAATGGATGGGGGTGGCTGGGAGGGGCTGTGGTTCTCAGAGGGTAGCCAGTCCTGGTCCTGCAGGCAGAGGGTCCAAGGAGGACAACAGGAATAGTTTGCTGGAGATCCTCTTCCTGGTGAGTCTGCCTCAGCCTTAGGAGGCTTGCTGGTCTTAGGGATAGAAACAGTGTGGTTCTAATGCAGAAGTATTGCTGGCTGCCTTTTCTTGGTGGCCTCCTGCATACTTTTGGTCCTTGCTGTCCTTACACGAGCCACCAGAGTATGCAGTTGGGACCTGCTGCATGGCGGCTGGCCTCCCTCATGGGCAAAGCCGCAGATGTGTTGGCCCTTTGACCTTGGCTTGAGCCAGTCTGGGTATAATCCTGGCCTTGTAGGCAGGTAGTCACTCCAGTAGTCACTCCAGAACTGCATGCTGCAGGAGAGTTGGCAGAGAACAGCTACCACAGCTCCGTATTGGTCTTCAGTGCCAGGCTGGGTCCTGAGACCCACAGGGCAGGGCCTGTAATAGTAGTATTACAGAGTTCCATAGATGGTCTTGGAATTTCTATCATCACTAGCTGTATGACCTTGGGCAAATTACTGAACTTCTCAGAGTCTGTTTCACAATTATAAAATGGGGTGACAAGATCACCCTTAGTGTGAAGTGATAAGTGTATGATAATTGTATATCATTCTAATTATAAACATTACTAGTTTACCTGAGGCAGAAGCTGCCCACCAGCTCTGTTTTCATGTGGCAAGAGTTTTCAGCCTGAGAGCATTTCTTAAAGGAGACCTCTTGCTGGTGATGGCTTCCAGCTGATGTGCAGTAATGTGGTATTGCAGGATGGTCTGGGCAGTTAGGACTGAAGCAAAGATGTATTTTGCCTTGCCACAGAGTTTGCAGTTGTCGTGGAGGTCCACACAGCTGTGCGCTCCCCCCTCCATGCAGTCGGGTGCGAGGATGACCAGTCTCTCAGCAAATACGAGTTTACGGTGACCAGTGGGAGCCCAGTAGCTGCGGACCGAGGTGAGTGCCACTGCTGGGACTGTCTTCTATCAGAGCAGACAGGGCTTGCCCCTCAGTCCAGCGCTGAAGCCTCTCCACCTCTGCTTTATCCCCAGTTGGCCCCACCATCCTGAATAAGATTGAAGCAGCCTTGACCAACCAGAACCTGTCTGTGGACGTGGTGGACCAGTGCCTCGTCTGCCTCAAGGAGGAGTGGATGAAGTAAGCCCTGGCTGAGACTGTCCAAGATTCCTGCCCATGGGGGATGGAGTTGCCTGTGACAGCAGATGTGCTGAGGAAAAGCAAGCATCAGTTCTAAAAAGGACCAGACTTGGCTGTGGGGAGCTAGTGAGAGTAGTGGTTTTGAGTGGGGTTCACACTCACCCTCCCTGCCATTTAACAACCTTGGGGGCCCAAGTGCCAGTGTCTTCTCCCGCTTTCATCCTCTGTAAGGTAAGGGTCAGCATCTGTCTCCAGCAGCTGTTGAGAGCAAGAAGAATCCCAGCATGCAGAGGAGGTTCTTAAAGTTTTTACTTTACTGCTTAGTTAACTTTTAAAATCTTAAGTGAGATAATATAGGTTGCCTTTTTTGTTTTGTTTCTTTGCCTTCTTTTGGGTGGACCTCAGGGTTTTCTGCATGCTGGGATAGTGCTCTGCCGTCAACTCATATCTCCTGCATGTTTTTTCTTTGCCCTAAGCAGTTTACTTTTTTTTCTCTTGTAATTTTTTAAATCAAATTTTATTAGTCAGATGCTCTGTAACCTGCTTTTTACCTGAATTTAAGGACAGGTCTGGCCCATGACCTCCTCCCCGCTTTTTGATGTGGGTCTCACTGTGTCCTCTAAGTGTTGAGATTCCCAGCGGGGCCTGCAGAGCTCCTACTTGTCTCAAAACCATTTAGGCCCTATGAGCTCTGGTGCTTTGGTTCTCAGCTGAATGTGTTTTTTTGGTTTTCTACAGCAAAGTGAAAGTCCTCTTTAAATTCACCAAGGTGGACAGTCGGCCCAAGGAGGACACGCAGAAGCTCTTGAGCGTCCTCGGTGCATCCGAGGAGGACAATGTCAAGCTGTTGAAATTCTGGATGACAGGCCTAAGCAAGACCTACAAGTCACACCTCATGTCCACAGTCCGCAGCCCCGTTGCCTCTGAGTCTCGTAACTGACCCCATCTGATCTTGTCTCCGTGTGCACTTCTGGGCAAAGTGTGGCAGTGTACTCGCCATCTTCCAGTTCCATGAGACAAGGGACCACTGCTGGGTCTCTGGACTGCAGGTGGACAGCTGGGTCCTGGTATGGGACGGAAATTGGTGGATTGGGCTCTGCCCTGTGGGGCAAAGGGCCTGTGTAGTTCTTAGCACATTGCATAGCTGTCAGCCTCCTTCCTGAGGAAGGCTGTGGAGACCGTGGACAACTCTGTGACAAGAGACTCAGGAGCATGTGGCTTTTGTGCCTCAGGAATGCCATCCCAGAATTAACTGGAGGACTCAGGTGTTTGGGCTGCACTAACCTGTCCTCTTGGGGATCAGCCTCTGAACATTTTCATTTTGAAATGGAGCAAGTTTCCTGGGCTTTATGTTTAAATATATGTTTTACTGTGTTTGTAAATATTGAGGACATACTCCATCCAGTCCATTTTGGTCATCTGCTTTTAGGTTAGGGCCCTGAAAAGGCTTTGGGAGGTCAAGTGGCCGTTCTCATCACTGGGTCCTCCGAGGCAGCATGGCTATCCTGTGGGTGCATTCCCCTCGTGCTGCCGTGGAGTTAACCTGTGGCTCTACCCAAAGATGTACCTTTGCTGAGGCAGCTGCGGACCCGATTTGAGCAGCAGCACATTGTAGATGGTGAAACCCACTGCTGCTTCGTGCTGAGTCACTTTCGCCTGTATTGTGGTGTTCAGCGTTTACATGTGGCGGCAGATGACATCATCCTGTTGTACAGTTTGGACGGAATCATGGCTTAGAAGGCTTTTTGGCAGTTTTTCCAGTTTGTTTAGGTTTTTTTGTGTTCATTTAATTTATATTTAACACAGAGACTTAAGTTGTATTATAACTAAGTCTTTGTATAATACAAATGAATTGAAACTTAATAAATCTATTTTTGTAACCTGTTTGCTACATGGTTTTATACCTCATATTTACTTGTGCTCAGTTACAGAATATATACTTGTGGATTATTTACCAATGGAGATATGTGGAGAAGTATGTTAGGTGGGTTTGTCACCTGAGCTTCAGAGTATACTTTGGCAAACTCAGATGGCTACAGTGTCACTAGGCAATCCCATGTGGGGCCCAGGGTTTACCGAAACACTGTCACGTGGTGTGTGACTGCTATGGCTAAAATGATAGCAGTTCTCAGTGGTGTGACCACTTAAGCTGCTGTGGTGAGCAGGAAAGAAGGGATATGAACTCAGTAGTCTAAGCAGGTTTATTGCTGAATTTGAGGGGCCTCTCTGGCATCTCTTATAGGATAAGAGGTTTTTGGGGGTTTTTTTGGTAGCATTTTTGGCAGGCTCTTAAAGAGGTGGGTCAGAGAAATGCCAAGATTGCGGCTTGCTGATGTGTCCCCTATAACCTGCTGACAAGGGAGACTGCTTGTGACCTGCCAGTGTGTCCTCTGTGACCTGTGCTTAAAATGGAACCTGTGTTTAAAATGCTAGGCTCATTGGAACTGGTGGTGTGCCTGTCTGGGCTCTGTCAGTAGTGATGTTGGATGGGCTTTTCAAGGTTAGTCTGGAATTGACGGTAAAGGTCACTCATGGAGCAGCCACAGTGGTGTGCCAGCATTTTTATCCAGCTTGAGGAAATGGTTCAGTCCTATAGATGCTGGAAGGTATACCCATCCAAGAGGAAGGTTTCAGGAAGTACACATACATCTTTGAAACTGAAAGGTCTGCGTTGGTCATCTGATTGTGGTGGGAAGGATTTCAGCCTGTAGGAGCCAGGGGTCAGTGAAGGAAAGACGACTGTCCAGTCTCCTCACTTGGGTGAGGAGATACACTCTTTTTCCAGTGTATGGCATTCCCTGAGTATGCCCTCCTAGTGTCCAAATCTAGTTGTCTGCCCGTCTTGTGGCCCAATCTACTTGGCAAGTGAGTCCCATGTAAGTTAGATCTGCATCCATATCACAGGAATTGTATAGCCTGCACTCCCAATGCATAATAATAAAACTTAGAGCAGGGTAGTAAGGGCTAGTGTTTCAGTCAGCTATGGGGCTTCTTCCTGAAAATACTGTACTTCCTAGAGGTCAGCTCAGGGCAGCCATGAGAGTGTGGACAAAGAGAGTCAGAGCTGAACTTACAAGTGACCCCACACCTACTAGACTGCTGCCTTGTGATGGGGTCTGGTTTTGTGATTTGGAGCCTTTCTGTGGAGTGGAAGAGACAGCCCAGGTCTTGATCAAGGGCTTTCTGACCCTTTGTCACCTAGCTATCCTAGCAAGTCTGGAACAGATACTAGGGTTGTGCAGGGTATCGGACAATTACTGCTGTGGTTTGAGTATGTTTTGTTTTCCAATCAGATTTTATTGGTAATTTTATTATTTATTTATTTATTTATTTATTTATTTATTTATTTATTGTATTTTAGGGAAGGGTCTACAGGGTGTTCAGGGTCTCACAACTAGATTGTACTCATAGTGACTGCCTGTTTACAGCCTCCCAAGAGCTGGGATTACACCCAGACTCAATTGCTGTCTCAGCATGCCCTGGGGGTGGGGGTGGCACTGGCAGGCTCCTATTTGCAGGCGCTTTAATCAGCTGAGCTATTTGGCTGGCCCCATTTTATTATTTGTATCTGTACATGATAAAATTTTTCCCCCATTTCCCTACCTCTCCTTCAACCCTTTTTCCCTTCTCCACTTACAAAAGCTTTTCATGTTTTCCTTCTCTCTTATACTTTTCTCTTCTGCCCCCCTCACCTCTCCTCACCCCCTGCTTTGTTGACCTCATTTGAACATATTCATCCTGTTTCACCATACCTATTAAACATTTTAGTCCTTATTTACACTTTCTTACACCAGAGAAAATGCAGTATTTACACATGTGTCTTATTTACACCTTGAGTATGGACTCCAGGTGCATCTATTTTCCTAGAAATGCCTTAAGCATACTCTTTATGGCTAAGTAGGACTCCATTGTAAAAAAACAACAAACAAACCCCACATCTTCTATATACAGTTACCAGTTGATGGTCACTTGGGTTGCTTCCAAGATTTGGCTATTACAAACTGTGTCTTCAAAACAAAAAAACAAAACAAAAAAAAACCCTGTCTTTATAAACATAGGTGTGCATATATTGTTGTGATATGATGCTTTTAATTCGTTTGGGAAGATGGCGAGGAGGGGAATGGCTGGGTCACATACAACCTCTAGTTCTAGTGTTTTGAGGAAACTTCTCACTGATTGCCACAGTGGTTATATCAGTCTATACTCCCACAGTGGAGAAGGGATCCTTTTGCTCCACATTCCCACCAGCATTTGTTATTAGTTGATTTCTTTTTTTTTTTTTTTTTGTTCCCCGAATGCCTTCAGGGCACTTTTCACCAGCTGGATAGGTGTGAGGTTCGAACTCCAGCAACCTGAGGCTGACAGCTTTGTGGAAGCAGCCACTTAAAGGCCTGAGCTAGGGCCAGGCCCCCATTAGTTGATTTCTTGATAATAACAATTCTTTCCAAGGTGAGATGGAATCCCAGTGGTGTTTTAATTTGCATCTCTCAGATGACCAGTGATTTTCAACATTTTTCATATGTTTATCTGCCATTTGTAGTTCTTCATCTGAGAAGTGTGGACTTATCTCAGATTCCCATTTTTGGAAAGAGTCTTTAAATTTTGTGGGAGTTTGTCTTCCTGATTTTAGAGTGAAAGCTTTCAGTTTTTGACCATTTACTATGATGTTGGCTGATTGAGGTAAAGACCATCTAATTTTTTAAAATGTATTTAGTACAGGTTCTACAGGGTCTCACTACACAGATTGGACTCATAGTGATCCTCCTGTTTTCAGCCTCCTGAGCGCTGGTATTAAAGGCATGTCCCACCATGCCCAGTCTCAATTGCTGTCTCAGTCTGCCCCAGAGGTGGGGCTGGCACACATGCCACTGTCTGACAGTGCACCCCTGGGTTTTGGGGCCAGTAAGACATGTGTTACTGGGGATCAAACTTGAGTCCTTGAGCTTGACTGCCAAGCTATTTCCCCAGCCCCCTTTTCATTCCTAATCGCATAGATTGAGTCTTTTCTTTCCTTTTTTTGTATAAGGTTGGCTGAGGGTTTGCTGATTTCATTTAATCTTTCAGAGAACCAACTCTCTAATTCATAGATTCTTTGTACTGTTTTCTTCATCTTCATTGTATTAATTTCTTCTCTGACTTTATAATTTCCTCCCTCAAATGAGGTTGGGCTTCACTTGCTGGTAGAAGCTTGTGGTTTGATATTTATTTGAAGGGCTGGGGCGATGGCTCAGTGGAGTAAGTGCTTCCCTGGCAAGCACAAGGCCCGAGTTTGATTCCCTGTTCCACCAAAAAAAAAAAATTATTTGAGCTTGCTCTGTTTTCCTAATATGGATATTCACGGCTATAAATTTCCCTGGTAGGACTGCTTTCATTATGTTCTATAAGTTCTGGTATCTTGTATTGATATTATCATTTAGTTGTTGAAACTGTCTTATTTTTTCTTTAATTTCATCTGTGACCTATTGGTTGTTCAGGAGTGTTCATTTGATTTATACGTGTTTATGTAGTTTTTATCTTTTCTTTTGCCATTGATTTCCAGTTTCATTGCACTATCGTCTGGTAATACAGTCCCTTTTCATTTACTTAGCATGTTTTGTGAGCAAAAGTATGTGGACTATTTTGGAGAATGTCCCATGTGCAGCTAAGAAGAATGTATATTCTGATGTTGTGGGGTGGAACACTCTGTAGCATCTACTGTATGTATTTAAGAGTTTGATTTAGTTCTAGTATTTGGTGTTCATTATTTCCTCAGTGTTTTTTTGTTTTGTTTTGTCATGGAAGTATTTTATTTTTCCATCAACTTTGAAAGATAGTTTTACAGGCTACATTAATCTGGATTGGAGGGTGTTTTAGTACTTTAAATACTTCAAGCTCTCCATAAGTTGAGGGTTTGTGTTGAGAAGTCAGCTGTGATTCTGATGGTCTTTCCCTAAAGGTGATTTCTTTTTTCTAGTAGCTTTTAATATTCAGTCAATTTCTGGTGCCAAAAACAATGTAGTTCTTGTGTTCATTTTCTGAAATCTTGACTATTATTATCTCCTGCTCTTTTCATTGACTCCATTCGATCTTATGTTATTCTTCCTTACATCATGTAACAGCTGCTGGATTGATTTCTAGTGGTCCCTTGGTGTTTCTTGTTTTGTTTTGTTTTTTAAAAGAAATCTTTCTTTTGCTGATTGCAAGCCTGTCTTCTAACCTGAGGTTATACTCTTCAGGTTTATTCTGCTTTGGGTACTTTCAATAGAATTTTTAATCTCCTAGATAACTGCTTGAATGTGTTGTATGAATTTCCTTCCTATGTTAAGCTTTCATGATTTCCATCATTTTCCTAAACTCTTCTGTTTTCTTTATCTGTATATGCTCTAGATTCACTAGTCATGTCTTTCACTACAGTTATCATCTGTAGTTGTCTGAGAAATTATTTATTTGATTAATTTGCCTTGTTACCAGAGAGGCCAGACGGATGGCTTTTGGATTGTCCCACCTTGTTACCTCTTGGGTTTGCCTTTGCTGAACTGGATGTCTGGGTGGTATCTTGTTTAAGTGACATCTCATTTTCTTTCTTTTTCCTTTTTTTTTAGTTCCTGGCGTGGTGCTTGTAAATGACCTACAGTGAGTAGCTTTATTGATAATATTTAGAACCCTTAGGAAATGACTAGTTCTCAGGGATGTCTTCCTGGTGTAGCTGCATTCTGGGTTTTGAGTCTGATGGAAAATCAGATCTCTTCAGTTTATTGGACATGAGATGTTGCTACCTGTTTTTTTTTTTTTTTTTTTTTTTTTCTAGATTTAGTATACCATTTATTTTTGAAGGGCATGGTATGTTGCCATAAGGAAAAATTATAAAGAATAGGATTCTCAGCCAGGCATTTCTAGTTCCTTATTGTTAATTTGGGATTTATTACCTAATTTCTTAGGAGAAAATACTGAAAAGGATGTTTGTTAGATTTAGCAAAGAAAGGACATTCAGTTAAATTTGAATTTTAGGTACAAAACTGTTTTTAGAATAAGTATACATGATACATCCCCATACCAAAAATTACTTATTGTTCACCTGAATTCAAATTTAGTTGGGCATTCTCTAGTATTTTTTAAAAAATTTTTTTAAATAGTAAAAATTTTTTTCCATAATTTTATTGAGAAATAAATAGCAATAAGACAGTTTCAAATCAAATTGGTAGAACAGTTCCAATAATTAACACATTGCATACTGCCTTCCTAGTGGTTATTTGTTGTACAAGATGCAGACATGATATCCTATTTACAAACGCTATTAGAACAAATCCTCTATTCCTTAAATTAAGAGAATATAGCTATATATCTATCCTAACCGTTTTGAATACACAGATACAAAATGGTCATTCATCTGTATCCCCTTTTTTTGTTTAGTTCTGTTATTTAAAGATTATAGGGGCTGGAGAGATGGCTCAGTGGTCTAAAGCACCTACTTGAAACAAGCTTGGCAAAGCACAGGGACCCGGGTTCGATCCCCAGCACCACATGCCAGCCAGGCCCGCCCCCTGGTGGGCTGAGCTGGCCACACACACAATAAATAAATGTAATAAATAAAAATAAATATTAAAAAAAAAAAAGATTATAGGTGTGTGAACTCAGCAGAATATTCCAAAATAGTCCAGTTGCAAAAACAAACAAACAAACAAAATAGTCCAGTAGTCCATAATAGTACTGGGTCTTCCGCTTCACTAGCAGTGTCAGAAATTGTTGACCTGAGTCCCCTACAGCTCAACATAACAGCATGGCTTTACTTCTTATACTTTTTTTTATACCTTTCTGCTGGATGGTTAAGACCAAGATAAAGCAAGACCTATGTAACAAGAGTTGTAGCTTTTGGATCTGATAAGGTCAATCAAATCCCCTCAGGATTTATCCTGAGACCCTGTACCTCAGATTGTAGATCCTTTGTCAGTGTCAGTCATGTGGATGAGTCACGGCCATTGCTTGGCCAATTTGTTGCTGCCTGTTTGAATCAGCCCCTAGTTCTTTGGCACTGAAAAGTGTTTTCACAGTATTTTCTATGATCCTTTAGGCACTCTCAGGCTTAGTCTAGCAGGTCAAACAGCTGGGTAGAACAGTTATATCACATTGGCTAAGGTACAGACAGCAGTACCAATAGCATCAAGCAGCCTAGAAACTGGTTACTTGAGGTAACCATTTATTTTACATCTTTAAATGTATGAAGTAGATTTTTGGTTATATAACAAAACCTAAAACAAACCAGAAAACTGTATACCATAAATAAAACTACAATGTATCAGTTTTATTCTTAGGGGAGAAAATTTAAAAGGAGTGAGGGGAAAAATAGGGAAGTACAAGGAGAGGAAGAGATTAAAAGCAAGGATGGAGGACAAAGGATCACAAAAACTTTGGCAAACTTTCAGAAGACCAGAGGGAAAGAGATAAGTAAATAAAAGGAACAGAACAAAAACCATAAAAAGACCGACTAGAAACCACTTTCACATTCATAAAAACAAGCTCAATCCCCTCCACCAAACCAAAAAACCAAAAGAAGTAAAAAATAATTCACTCCAAGGTGTGTCTGATGTCACTGATAAGGTGTGGTTGCTGGCCCCACCCAGGGCGTGCTGAGACAGCAATTGAGACTGGGCCTGATGTCTGCACCTGTAATCCCAGCACTTGGGAGGTTGTAAACAGGCGGATCACTACGAGTCTGATGTAGCAGTGAGACCCTGAACACCCTGTAGACTCTTCCCTAAAATACAAAAATAATAAAGTGGAGACAGTCCAGGTCTGTGTTGATTTATCCCAGCAAGCCAGCAGTTGTTTTAAGTGGGGGTAGTGGATCATCTCAGTGAGCCTGTACCTTTTTCCCCCCAAAGTTCAGGCTGGTTTCTGGCTTAAGCCTTGAACTCTGCTGGGAGCTGGTGGATGGAGCCAGCAGTTGTCTGCAGTTGTTCCGAGCTCAATGGGCCTCTCTCCAAGATGGCTCCCAGCCAGTCACCCTCCTGCTCAACAGTTGAAGGTGCGCCACTCACCAGCTTCCCTGGTTGCATTGCTCTGCTGTGTCTCTGTGGAGGCCTCTAGTGCAGTCAGCAGTCAGTCCACCTGTGTGCAGGTTTGAACTACTGCTCCCATGGGGTGGATTCCCAGTCTTAGGGAGAAGGCCCTGTCTACCACCTCTTCTTCCTTTGAAGTTTCCCTTTTCGCTCTCCCCGTGGACTTCAGATCTTTCCTGGATTCAGGGTCCCATTTCCCACTTTTTCTTGAGTTCTTACATTCCAGTGTCTGGACACCAAATCTCAAAGAGGCTCTTTCTGTGCTGCTTACCACTTCCCCATCTTCCCAGAAATCCCTTTGCAGTATTTAAAACCAGGCCCTGGGCTAGGTGTTTTTGTGGTCCCCGCTTGGGTATTTGATGCAGTTTTCTCTAGAGATGGGAGGCACATGCTTACACATATTTACACAGCAGTCCCCATGGAATCTCCAAGAGGTACACACATCACTCCTGCGTTTGTCCTCACTGCCTGATGTTCTGCAAGACAAGCCCAGGCTCTCGGGATCCAGCTTGGGGATCCTGAGCATCTCCTGCGGTCTCCAACTTCCAGGTCCACAAGTGGGTCAGTGCCTTCCTCCCCTTCCAGGCCTCGCAGTGACCTTTAGCTGGTCACAAGAAGGTGCTTGCTGAGGAGCTCTTATTTCCACTGAGAGAATAGAGGCTCCATTTAGCCAAACAAATCCTTGATCAAGAATCTGGAACAAAGAGCAAATCTGCTTACAGTAAATCAGAAACCTCCAAGCCACATGGGACATTATGTGGGAGTGGGAGTCCAGCTGAGACCCCCAGACCCTTCTCTAATCCTGTCCAGTTGTTCCCTCGGGACCACACAGGTGTGTCCTGAGACACCTGGGAATTCCACACATCTGGAGCCAGGGAAGCCAGATATGTCTGAAAATGGAGGACTTGCTTTTCATGGCCAAAGTGGTATGGGAGGCAGGCACAGGCCTGGAGGTGGGACAGGGGTGGGGCCTGTTGGTGGTGGGCCGGAAGCGGTAGCCCAAAGCACGTGGTTCACGTGGGCGTTGAGGGCGTGGCCAGGCACGTGGTGGGCGGGGCAGGTACAAGGCAGGGTGCGCAGGCTCAATTTGTACCCTGAAGGGCTGGCTTTCTGTGGCAAAACGATGAGGCGGTTGAGCTGGCGGATGGTGGCCTCTGCGGTCGTGGGCCTCACAGTGGCCCTTGAGGCAGTGCCCTGGCTCCTGGCCTGGCTGCAGGTCGGGCGGCAGCGGCGGCCTCGGCGTG